CGCGCGCCCGCCCCCCCGCGGCGGAAGGAAGAGGCGGAGGCCAGGCCAGGACCCTGCATGCCTTTATTACAGACCACCAAGCATCAGTGAAATCCATCATCCAGTCACTAACTACACATCTACAGCACAGAGAGCTGTCAAGAGGAGAGTAAACAGCCGTTAAATTATGAGATATGATTAAATCATCGACCAATAGAAAATTTATATAATAAAGCCAGAAAAAAGGTGTAAAATATAGTTTACAATAATTATTCACATTCAAGGCTGTACATCAATACATACAACACCATGGCCCCGAACATGAATTCAATCCAAATAATTTATATATTAGAATTTAAATAACACAGACTGAACTAGAGGCCAACAAGAGCCAGCAAATAACCTTATAAGAATAAAAATACAAACGTGTGTATCTTCTATCATTGCATTATTTGCTTCTGTTTTCATGAGTTCGTGGAGGTGGGGAGATTGTTTTGTGGTGCTTGTTGAGGAGGGTTTGGGATTTTTTGTTTCATGGGTTTTTTTGTCATCGTTTTTTGTGGGTTTTTTGGTTTTTTTTGTGGTTTTTTTGTTTTGTTTTTTTTTTTTTCCTTTTATCTGTACATCACAGTTACAGCTACAAACCAGGTAGAGAATATTACACACGTAACTGACTGCCACCAACCTGAAAACAGCTAGCATACAACTATCAAAACTGATTATGGTTCCTGGTTCCTATTTTTTCTCTTGTCAGATACAGTAATTGTAAGTTCTGCTACAATTTAGAACATTTGCCACATCCAATCAGAGTTAGTACATGGTCATAGGAAGCTTTGTCAAACGGCAACCATCTACATTCACTGCCATGCTGACAGACAGACCAGGTTATTGGGTGCTTAAGAACCTCTCCAATTGTTTGCTGTATAAAAGTCATTATTTCTTCTAGCAAAGAGGAAACATTCTTAAATTACCAGTCTTAACTGAAAGCGTGCCATTTTGGGTCAGAGGATTACTCATCTGTAAGCTCACTTGATGGACAATCTGTGTCATGAAGCTTTGCAGGAGCACTTCCATTTGATTAATAAAATATTTGCATAAAATATTACAGGCATTCAGCAAAATTTCAGATATAAATACCACACCTATTTGTATAATTCACTAGTAGAAAGAATGATCAGAATCACAGACCACAACTTTAGGCAACTATTAATATGTAAGTTCTCTCCTCAGCAAGGTGTTGAAATCAAATGTTTTGTCCACAGGCCAAATGAAGTAATTGTGTTGACTTTACTAAATCATTCAAAAGAAACTGTTAAATGTACACGTGGGAAATCCTCAGGATTCTTCAAAGTTCCCAGCACAAAATGTAATGATATCAAGCACGTTAAATTAAGCATCTTGAACTATGAAAATGGATTACAATTATCACATCTTTGTTTCAACCTACAGAGTTTTTCCCAGGCTTATATATAGCAGACACTTCACAACTAAATCACGTCAGAAGGAAAAAAGTAAGTGGAGCACAGTACTATCTGATAGTTTGATGTCTTCAGTATCTAAGTGCTTAGCAATTGAGATCTTAATAGGTAATATCAGTCTGCTCACAATGCCTCAACGTCTCATCTGAAGCAAGCCTTCCTTAATATAAGTCCTTCTCAAAACTGGACTTTAAGACCAATGGTAGTAAGCTCGTCTCTCCAGTTTATCAAAGTAGTTTTAAACTTCCTGTGGGAAGTGGGCTAGATACTGAATAGAAGAGTGTGATCCAAAAAATCCTTTCCAGCAGGAATACTTCATCCTTTCTTAAGCTCCACCCCACAGAAAATAGATGCAGTAACACACCTTCCTGAAGTTCAAATCCCAAGCAAAACAAAATTACAGCATTACTGACCAGATTCTTTACAAATGATTGGCAATTGTTCAAAATGCAAAAGATTGAATGAATCAATCAACAGATTGGGTTTTCAGTAGGTTTGCAGTGAGGAGCCTGAAGAAGAGTCTTCAAGTGCCTAACAACCCTTTTTGTGCTTTGAAAGGCCTTGGATAAAGAGCAGAGAAATTAACTGGCTTATCTGCAGCTTTGAAGAACCTCCCTTGTACATTTCATTCCATGGACTCCCATGAACCACAGGAGCGATCTTCAGGACAAAGATCTGAAGCTACCCCACTTCAGCTATAAGCATTTAAAATAGGAACCAGCCCTTCATAGTATGCAGCACCTGCCAAAACACATTTAAGTGGACAAACCGGTGAAAGATATTTAAATCCACATGATTGCTTTGTCTTGCCTCACTCTATTCTTCTGCCATCTTTCAAAACCACAGATTTCACTTACAGTCCAAGACAGACAAATACCTCTCCCAGAAAAGTTCTAGTCCCTTCCCAAAAAAGCAGCAGCTAAGGAAGACTTGGTTTGGAACACTTAAGTTCTAAGGGGAGGGATGCCTGTAAGAGATGCTCACAGTTTTCTAATGACAGCATTGTCAAAAGAAAAAAAGGGAATACTAGAATGCAGACATCAGCCTTCCAGACACCTTCTTGATAGCTTACTGCTATCAAGATTTCTTTGGCTGAAAGCTTTTGGTGGGCAGGACGGAAGTCTACTGAGAGGATTTTCAAGGTGTGAAAAAGCAGAGTAATTACTTTGTTATGGCAAAATGACTACCAGTCTAAATATTACAGAAAAAAAATCTTTAAGCATTCCTAGATTTCCACCTAGCAAAGAAGCCAGTGGAGATCATTCCACCTCCTAATGAAGCTAAGGTGTTCACTATTAGCAGAACAACTTTGCTAGACTTTTTATGCGAGGCCAAGTTTTGTCGCACCAAACAGCAGTGGCACCATGAATTTCCATCACTGCCAAACTCTCCTGTATAAAAGTTGGGAATACGTCTACATCTCTATACCAAAGACTAAATCCAAAAGTGGTAGGGTTGCCTCCAGTGGACCCAACATACAGGCGGAATTTGACAGCCAGAGAACAAATGGACAGCACTGCAACAAACTTACAATACATGTCCTCTTGGTTAGAATGGTAACTATAGGATTAATACAGGCACAGGTAGAAGGTGTGCTGTGCTATTCAAATTTTAGTGACAAAGAATGTACCTTGTACATGATGAATTTTCTCATGATGCAAAGGGAATGGTGTTCTATCTTTCTCATCTCAGCCATTTACAGTACACCTTAGCTCCCCTAACACCAGGCACTGTAAGCCAGCGATTTACTTTTGTCAAGTCTGTGTACATGGTGGGATAACAGAAGACTACAAGGATGGAGTTCCTCCAAAAGAAAAGGCAACTGCACTCTCTCCTTTAAAGACTGAAAGATACTGGAAAAGCTGAACTGTCATCAAGTTCAACCACATAACACAGTTTTTAAGAGATCAGTAATAAATCTCCTTCACCCTGTACAACAACAAAATATCCAACATTCATGTGTTTTCTGAGAAATCCTGATAAGCCACTGCTTTTAAAATACTGCTTCTACAACGGTAGCCCATGAGTTTTTTCAACATTGCAGTGGAACATTTCTTTCGTTGGTGGAAGGAAAAGCACGTCATAGTAAGAGACCTCAAAATGCAAAGAGATGGTACGTGTAGAAGGTGAATAAATAGGTGTGATGTTTATACTGCTTTTAAAACAAGGAAGGAATGCCTTTGTCCAGACCTAGGTCATTCCTCTCTGCAAGGTTCAGGAACATGGGCACGTTGAAAATATCATTAGGGAAGTTGTTTTTAGCACATAAAGTTATGTCTTTGCGACGTTACAAGAAATGTTTGACCACAAAAAAAAGCCTTAATTTGAAGAGGATAAAGGAGATTGATATGAAAAATATTTTCATTTTATAGATATGCCTTAAGTACCATATATTTTCCCCTCTGTATCAATATTTTCCTTTGAATTTTTACCCAGATTACTTTATGGATCTAATATTTCAATTGCTTAAATTTTTTCTCAGAGTTGCTAAATATTTGTCAAAGACCAAAAATAGGATTATTTGTACATCTCATTATACAATGAGACAAAAAACCATCAAGTAATCAATTGTACAAAGCTTTCACACTTCCTCCTCTACCCAGGTAAATAGGTTGGCCCCACTAAAATGCACAATACATGCACGCCCTGGAAAGAAAGTTTCTAGCCCTCATCTCCTGAAAAGGTGAAAAACTATTTACTACTTCAATAGTAACCTTTTCCCCCCCCATACTAACTAGTTAATTTTTTAGTTAGCATTAGTTACAAGCATGCTGGTAAGTTTATTGTCCCTTGATTAAACACACATATGATTCATATTAAAATTTAAATTGAAGGTTTAAAATCTTATATGCTTCGGAAGCCAACATTTCAATTTTAGAAAACTTTCAGTGCCATGTTCAGCATTCTACTCTCTCACAACCTGTATCATTGGAGCCTGTCTGCCAGACACATACATCTGATTCATTCACATAATTACTAAAGTACCACGTAAATCCTGCAACCAGAACTATATTAGGAATTACACAGCGGTGCAACTGACCTGGCTATAAATGCCATATACCAATAAGCTGGGGGACTGTGAGGAAAGGAAGAGAAAACAAAGAGGTGGTGCTTAGGAGAGGCATATAAAAGCTCCCTGATGAAATACAGTTTAATGATAATCTGAAAGTCACAGAAAACTCCAGCCCCATAAAATGCAAGGCTGGTACATGATTCGGCGTGTGTGCGTGTGGATTGGTTTTAACTCATCTTAAGTGAAGCTGGTAATGCAAGGTCTATCCACTAGTCTGCAGCAGAAATTGAGCTGAAGTGCACAAAAGCAAGATCTTCACTGCAATGATATGCATGTGGAAGCCTCAACAGAAGCACAAAGAGCGAGCAAAGCGACCCTGAATTCCATTAGGTTTTTGCTTTTCTTTTTTTTTTTCCTTTTTTTAAAAAAAAAAAACACAGAACATTTCAGACATATGCTTCCCCTTGAGATGGTAACAGGTGGGTTGAAAAGATTCCTCTGATCGGCTGCACACGGAGTTCTAGCAGCAAGTAGGGAAACTGGGAAATTTTGGATGAGCTTTACTATTTAGCAGCATTCTGGTGGTATCTGTGCCGCCAAACTTCATGTATCTTTTTGCACCATTTATGAGCATTCCCACTTGGGTCCATCAGGTAATATGTCCTGTTTGGCTATAAGTGAACAACATTTTAAATGAGTACTCCAAACACAGTTTAACAAAAAAGCAGTAGTTATTCTGCACCTACCAATAAAATAATTATCCAGAATCAGTTCAAAATCTTTCCAAAAGTTAATTAAATTACAGTTATGTAACATTATGTATTAGTGAATAACATACATCTGGCATCTCAATGTTAAGCAGTCAAGTCATATATTGTTGGTACACTCCTTGTGATCCACTATAGACCAAGAGGGCTAAATTTTAGAAGTCCTTCTTAAGAACTTCCTTCAAATCCCCAAATCCACTTACAGTTTATTTACACATGAATAATAATAAAAAAAATAATTGTATTTTTGTGGGAAATGTGTATGTCAGGGTTTTTTTTTTTATTTGTTTTTTGGGGGGGTTGGGTTTGTGTTTTTTTAAAATTAAGGCTATCAAGACTTGTATTTAAGGAATTATATTTTCTCCAGAAAAATTTACATTAACAACTTACAATAATTGTCCAAGGACATTAGTGCAACTTACAAAGAAATTGAAGAAAATCACTTACTGTGTGAACAAAAAATGTCTTAAAATTCTTGGCTTCTGGCCGCAACTCTAAAGACCATGGAATTTCTCCTTTTAGAACTTTGTTGACAGGATCCACATAATACAGGTGGGGCCCTTCTGTGAGCAGCAATTGGCGCCGACGTGCAAACAATCCCTAACAAGAACATCAGAAGCAGCAATGCAAAAAAAAGCATGAGGAAAGAAAATGTAAGTGTGTAGATCTCCAAATTTAACAACAGAGGTAGAATTAAAACAGCTCAGTGATAGGATAGTATGTTTGAGTTTGGGGGACTTCTTTTTTTTCTTTTGCTTTATCTATTTGACCTCACTCCTTTTTTAAGGGGTTGCAGTGCATTCCTACTACATGGCAAAACACAAGTACTGTTTTAAGAAAGCATCTTCAAGTTCTAACACAACATAAAACAACTAGCTGTACAGAGTGAAGCAAAATCTATTTGTCAAAGATTCCAGTACAGAAATAAATACTCATGATTTTGTGGAGAAAATTAGGAACAAGCAGGTAGTAACTTAGATGAAAGAGAAGCTACATTCCTGTAAAGCTGACACAGACTATCGTTGCTCATCTGTACCATGTTAAAGTTAATACCTAAAGCTGTTCTAGGCACTAGTCAGATCCAGGAAAAACACCACAGTTTAGGACAATATGGGCTTGTATTTTATTTTCCAATATTTGTGGCTCAATCCACATGCAGACATGCATCAAGACAAAGTGTTTAGTGGACTGTATCAGATTGGGAGAAGGAGAGGGAACAAAAACTTGTTTACTACAGTCTTGAAATGAAAGCATCAATAGCACATTTACTTTTAGCCCTTTCCAAAAATGAAGGACACACTGCTAAATTAAGAAAAAACAATCTATTCACAAGAAAACTCTACATTTTAAAAAATAAACAAAATAATTTGACACAAATAAATTAAACAAGGAAGCTCTAGAACAGGTTCCTTATCTATGCTGCAACTGTGTAAAAATGTGACAGCTGAATCTTGTTACAGGGAATTAAGAAAAGCCCTTACCTTTCTTTTGTCCACTGGACCCATTTTTAGGATTAAGTTATTTTCTACGAACTGATGCCTTAAAAAAAAAGAAAAATAACTAACTATTACTCCAGAAGTAATTCTTCCACAGAAACAGCTTTTATTATTATTATAAAGCAATTTTCCATGTCTCTCCCTAGTGTCTCCTTTTCTGCCCGAGAGTCCTGAACAACTTTACTAGATGAGTTTTGAACTCTTCCTCATTCCACGCCAAAGAGTTTTTTCTAAAATCTGACAGGGGAGGTGGGAATCACAAATAAGAAACTCCTCTCAAGAGTGAAGATAAATGCTAATAAGTACACAGTCTGGAGGTATTTTGGTTAGATACCAACAGAATATTATCATACAAAAAAAAAAAATCTTACGGTAACTGTAACAAAGAAGGAACCTTTTCTAGTTCTAGGACTCTGTAGAGGGAAGACTTCTCAGCACCGGTATACCGTCATTTCTGCCTATCTTATAAACATACTCCACAACGTCTTCTAGACCTTGTAAATTTTAGAAACATAGTTATTAGGTTTTTGCTACTATTGCTTTAAAAATAGAAGTAAAAAAAACCCCTAGTTCCTAATTGTTTGCTTGAAGATATTAAGATTGACAAATATTAATTTGAATCAGAATACTTATTTGTCTTGATTTCTTACTGCTGTGCAAGCAACAGATGAGCTATATTCAAAGATCTTACCAAGGATTTCCACCAGCTTGTTTTGCGAGAAGTAACCTCTTTTCATCTTCAGAAAACTGTAAGTCCAGCTCAAAGGAATTGTTGTCAAGATCATGAATATACTGTTCAATATTTCCTCCTGATGTCTGTGGTGTACTTGTCTCTGGAGCAGACAGTGAATGGGAAGAGGCAGAACCAGAAACTTGCATGCAACCAAACTGACTCAGAAGATTGTCATACTAAAGGAGGAAACAAAATGAAGACATTTCTTTGATTAAAAAGCTTATTTAGCACTAAACTGCGGCTTTTAATTTAAGCATGCTTTTGTTTATTATGCTTTTGGGCAAAAAGACAGCCTACTCTCTATAGATTACCAGGCACTTATCCAAAAAAGTATGCTTGGTCAAAAGCAAGCCAACCACTATTTCTTCCAAACACTCACTTCATCAGAAGAAAAAAATGCGGATTAGTTCAAATTTTAACCAGCAATTTTATATTAGATTCTTATTAATTGAGTCTTCATTAAAATATAACTAATCAGTAGTTTCAATAAAAATATTTAATATGCAATAATTATGCTTTAATGAAAGTCTCATCAGAGGTTTTTCCATCAGACCTGAATATAGCAATAGACAAACATACATTTCCATAACAGTCTTCATCATCCTCTGACATAGCAGGTAAATACGCTGTAAGTTTTGGGGGTGTCTGAAGATGTAGGTTCTCCCACACAATGGATTCAAAGAAGGGGTGAGCCTTAAGAGGTCCATATCCTCCCATTTCTTCACAACCTAATCTGTTGGTTGCATCTAGAACCTGAGCAAATTACAATTAAGTTAACATGCATAAAAGAACGACAAGGAAGGGGTGAGCACCATTCACATATGCACAGCGGCATGCGAAAACTTAAAACCAGTTGGTCTCACTGCCCTAAGCACACATATCTAGAATATAAGGAGACTGCTTACAATACAAGATGTTATTTGTCAGTACATGATCAGCAACATTTTGTATTAGACCAGCTCACAGATCTAGAGAAAGGAGTGCTCCTTTGGGTCCACACAATTTTTTGGCTTTGTTTCTTCATAAGACAGAAACAAAACCAAGCAAGCATACAGAGCATACATAGCTCATTGAAGTATAGCCCAGCATCACATTCTAGTGATGCAAGAAGCTGTGGAAGCTATTGTTGGTGTCAAACATCAACCTCTCAAGCACCCTAAAACCGCACAGTTCTCAGGATGTTGATGCAACCTGGACCTTACCATTCAGCAGGCACTGGCTTGGCCATAGAGCTGGCCTGGACACAGGAACATGCTGCTAGGCCCCTTACAATGGTTGCACTCATCGTCATCCACAAACATAAGACACAGTTTCCTCCTTGCCCCCCCGCCCCATGCTAATATGCTAGACTATGGAACTTCAAAAAGCTTATACCACCCAAAATGTTCTCTGCATATTCATTTTAGTGTCATGGCTATATCTCACTGATGAGACAGAACTATTTTTTCTGCCTATCTGTCAAACATTCACATGCAGAGTAATTCTTTGGCTGATACCATTGAGACATGCATTAAGTGCAAGGTAAGTACATGCTAAAATGCAAGGTCAGTTGATTTACATTGTAATGAATGTATCTCCCCGTGATGTATAGAACACTGTTTTCAACTAAACAATTCATTATACAACTCAGCAAGAATTAATCTGAGTACTATGTAAACCTAAGTATTTGAATCTTAACTTGTGTGTAATGCACAGTATTTAGAACCATTTGCTTCCATTTCACTGAGAGACATTCCTTGTCCACACTTTAGAATTCAGGTTTAAAAAAAAATAATCTAAGTGCTGTTTAATAATGGATGTTGATTTTCAAGACACTCCCCTATGCAGTCAATAACGCTCACAGTCGTTCTTATTATAAGGTTTGCAACAGAGTGCATAGAAACTTCAGGAAAAAAGAACTACATAAGCTGAATGTTTCCAATGTCATCAAATCATTTAACAGCAGCAAATATTTACCAATAGCTTTTCAACAAGGTCTTTTGCCTTGGGAAAAAATTTTTCTGGAAAGTCATATTCCAACTTTATTATCTTCTGGAATATAAGATATTCATTTCTGCAAAAGAGAAAAATATTAGCTCTTGTTATTAGTTCTCTATGGTTCTTTCACCTTAACAGTGCATAACCTGGACAAATATTAAATGGGAAATCTACACATTCCCATAGAACTTTCTAAGGTAGAGTGGTCTTCCAAGTATCTATGATCCTGTAAGCACCAGATACTTGAATAATAACAAGAAAAGTTCAAACGGCTCAATACAGAGGTGCCTGTGCCTCATACCCTCTTCATGTAGGCATAGTTACCTTTATAGTATAAATTACATGTGAAATCCTAGGATAAATTAAGGAATCTCTCTCAGGAACTCTAGTTATAGCTGTCTAAGCATCTTCGTGACATCAGAAAGGACAAATAAAAGCAGACACGACATTAACACCAACACCGCACCATGAAAAGTTGTATTTCAGAACTGGTAGTAAGGTAAAAGCCAAAACCAAGTCAATATATTTATGATCCCCATGTAAAGAATTAGCTTAAATCTCTTACCCAGCTCTAAATGGAGGCAATCCAGCTACAAGCTGATATATTATACATCCCAGAGCCCAGAGGTCAGAGCTTCAAAAGAAAGAAAAAAACCATATAGTATGCTTTCCTATAAGAAGTCTTTAAACTGTAATTTTAAAAAAAGTCTTAAGCTTCTGCAGGTTAGGCAAACCTGCCTAGCATAATTTCCACACTATTTTCACTTCATTCCTTCACAGGAAAGTAGGCTAGCAACACAACTTTTTTGGGAAAAAAGAAGTATACAGTAACAATCTCGTAACAACTGACTACAAGCACATGTGCAAGACAGCTGAATTCTCAGTCAAAATAATTAATGGGTATGTAATGAGACTAAAAAGAATACTTATTATCCACTACCACAATTCAAAGATGCATCCAACTTAATGCAATATATGCTCCTTCAAAATTAAAATCCTTTCTCTAAATATTTTATGCAAAAAAAAAAGTCACAACACAGCTTTTTCAGTTAAAGCTTTTCTTAAGACACAAACAAAAAGGCAGGCTATATGGTACATGGGTGAGGGAAAGTCTTAAGTTCTAGTGTGTTGGCCTGAAAGTATTTTTAACTTATTTTACCTCGAGGTAAACTATACATAGATTTGATTAAAGCTTAGAAATCCTCCTCATGGAAGACTAAAATACTAACAAAGACTCAAAACTACTCAAATTAAGAGTTTTCTGTAAAGATGAAGCATTATGTAACTTCTAAAAGGAGATGATAGGCTGATGAAGTCTTTCCATTAGCCAAACCAGTCAAAACCTCTTTACTAGAAGCAAAAATGGAAAGTCTAACGGTATTTCTATCATTTTAAAAAAGGCTAGCACAAGTTACCACAGTTATTCATATGAGAGATCTCTTTTCCCTATGATTTGTCAGTGATTACTTTGATTATTCTTCCATCATTGTAATAAAATAGATATACAACAGCCTGTATGTTACCATCAAGAACCAATTTAAATGAGCTAAGAAATTTCTTAAGGGTATCACTCATATCAGGAACAGAGATGAGCTTTAAACCATTGCAAACCCCAAGCAGAGCTTAGCAAGATAACTACGAGTTGATCTAAATACAAGTCAAAGAAAGCTGTAACCTTTCCCCGAACTGACAGAATGTGACATTCTGTTGCTTTTACAGCAGGAATTACCATATTAGAGCAAGCTTATATAAAATAGAATTAAAATAGTTATATTATTTGGATAACAGAAAAAGTTTTTCTGATTTATTTATGGGTAAGAGAAATCCAACTTCCCACTACACACCACCTTCTCCTGACAACACCTAATCCTGTCTGTAGAACCCCAGAAGGTAGATGAACTGAGGAAACCAGCACTCAGACAAGAAGCAATACTTGTTAAGAAAAGATATTTCACTCTCTTAAAAAAACCCTTTATACTCAAGCATCTTGTTTCTTTGAAATACTAAGCTTGCTTGCTTTATTTATTAATTTTACAGAGTCAGTAAAGTTCTGAATTACATCAGAGTCCTCACCTTTTACAGGCAGATTTCTCTGTCAGCAGTTCTGGAGAAACATACTGTGCTGTCCCTACAAATGAGTTTGCTCGTGCTGGTAAGAAAATTGAAAGAAATAAGCAAATACATACTTACAGAGAAGACAACCTCCCCCTTCCACTCCCCTGCCCCCACCCAATTAAAAAAACCCAAAGGCAATCTATTGCAAGTTATGTAATGCTACAAAGAACCCACAGGAATTTCATTTCTCTACCCATTCACAAAACCTGTGCTTGGAACAGACAAAACAATATCTCTCAGTGATACCTATTTGGTTCAAGCAGCTAGGCACTGTTAGGTATAAAATCTACCAACACAAGCTTAATACATTCAAGTAAAAAATTAAGTTTATCAAATTCAGTTCAGCCTAGTGCTTTTTCCAGGCATTGTTTGCAGCATCATTGATTCACAGGTTAATACTAAGCAACTAGTGACACAAGAATCCTATAACCTTCACATTTGAGCAACTCTCATAGTCACCGGGGTTAAATACATAAGCAGAGTAAAAACTTACTGTTTCAGCTGAGCCACAGTAACTATTTGTTTGTATTCTTGTCTTGCAAATGAAAAATAATTTGAAACAGTTTAGCTTCCCACTGTATTTGGTGATCTAGCTGGCTATACCACTACATCAAATATTACCTCTTCTGACATAATCTAAGCAGTGACAGTCAAAACAGTTTCAAGATCTCTCAGTGATTTTGTTAGGTAAGATGTAATGATATTTGAAGGTTACAATTTGGTAAATACAACATACATACATTTTCAAAGGACCACTTGCTATAGTTATCTGTGTCACATGACAAAGTACATAATGTCATACCTTGTCTGCTATCTGCAGATAATACTTTTGCTGTTCCAAAGTCTGTTATTTGAATGTGCATATCTTCATTTAGCAAGATGTTCTCTGGCTTAAGGTCCCTGGAAAAGGCAGATTTTTATATTTAAAGAGCACACAAATTAAAGTTGCAAAACTGTCTAGTGACTTATGTACATAATGCTATCATAAGTGATGCAGACATTCTATAAACCTTGTTGTGTCAACTTTCTTCTAACTTGCAGCTGTCAACATGCAGACTGCTAACAGATTTTGAAAAGCCCATTAACATTTTTTCTAAAAAGACCTGAAGTAATGAATAATCTCAAAACTAAGCTATCGCACAACTCACTTGTTCAACAAAAATGGAAAAAAAAACCAACAAAAAAACCCTTCACTCCCAAGCCTTAATTTAAATAACATCTGACAGATTGATATGGCAGTAAGATCTACTAGGCCTGTTTACTCAGTGCAAAACCTCAGTTAGTCAAACAATGGCAACGCCCCGCCCCCAGCTAAATGTCCAGAACAGATAAGAACTGTAAACCACCTCCACTCTTTAAGAATGGCATGTTTACATTTGTCACATACAAATCCATGTATAATCTGTATTTCAAATGTATGCGTACCATTTGTATGGACACTGCCTCTGATAATAAACCACACACACAATATATAGCAATATAGAGTTAGATGTTGAGAGGTTCATTAGCAACAACAAAAAACAGCATTGGGTTACGCTGTTATGATATTATTTACTTTGCACCAAGTTTCCTCAGTTGACAAGAAAGGACAACATCCCTTCCTCCTAAGAAGTATCTGTGGATGCTCATAAAGAAATCTAGAAGCATGGGAGTTGTTTTGGTTGACTGGTAAGAAAAATCAGTGCAAATTCAAAGCTGTTTCCATCAACCACCGTGCAGCATTATTTTTCTCAGATTACAGTTCCCTGTTATTGAAAAGCATGGGTTGTGTAGTTGTACAGTTTAACGTCTGTGGACTAGCACAAGGAGCAACTGGAATGAAGTAATTACGACACACAAGCCATAAAAATCTTGTTCATTTTCCTGTAACTATTCTCAGAGAGAAGTAGAAAGTACATGAATGGAATGGACCTTTTTAACAGTTCTGTGTGGGTTTTTTTACATATACATATGTATGTAAATATATTGTACTCTATACACACATATACGTATAGTTTATATAATATATCATATACCTATATTAATATTATGGATCTAGGATATAGCTATATATCTAGATACATAGAGAGATATAATTGTAGTAACTTTTCCAGAGTAGCCTGGCATCTTAAAGTGGTTCTATCTCATGTCATATTTCTTTAGGCAGCAGAAAAATCTCAAGAGCTGTTCCATGAACAACTGCTTGGGAACGTACAGACACAATAGATTTCTTACCCGAAAAGAAGTTCTGTGGCTCAGATTTCTCACACTTACAGCTTTAATTTGTTTAATAAACATGAATGACAAAACATGCTTATCCAGACAATATAATTACATCAAGAACAACTGTGAAGGTCCTATTAAAAACTTTGCTAAATTTCACCATTTACCTAGTTATTGTTCAGCTTTGTAGAAATTGCTCACTCAGTGAGAACTGACTTACATTAATTTTACTTTTCTTGATGACATGCTGCACACTAATTCACACACCAGCAGAATTCTACGTACCAAAAGTAACTAACACCCCAGAAAAAAAAATATAGTTAAACAAAAAGTCAGTTTCTATTTTTAGACCAACTGATCAAGCTTGAAAAAGACAAGCTTTTGGTAACATTAGTTTTAGGCCAAAAAGTTTTCTTACTTTTTCCCACTAGAACAGTTGGTCAAATAACAGAGATTGGCTCTCCTCCTAAAGTTTTCTTTGTTTAGCTCCCTATGTTAACCACAGTACTAATGCTAATGAAATGCTATTATGCTCTCATTAGCTTTCCACAAAATTCACGTTTGCTTTGGACTTCACAAAGAACATTTCTAGAAAAACCACCTTGTGCATAATCAAATGCATGTTGGTCTCAACTTTGTATTACCTGTGAATTATTCCTTTCCCATGCAAATACTCCAGGGCTGATACAATTTCAGCGGTGTAAAACCTGGTACAAGTCTCATCAAATGAGCCAATTTTGCGTATATACTTTAGCAGCTCTCCATTTTTGGCATAGCTAAGCCCAAAATCTGAGTGTAAGTATAGTTAAGGTCTACCACTAAACCATTCTAGAACAAAAGTCCCCACACCTCATTCCAAAGCCAAGAATAATACTAAAAATACATGAACAACAAGGAAGAAGCAAAGTTGGTTCATTTGAAACTTTACATGGTAGCAACCCAAAACAATTTCTTAAATATATTAACAACCTAGGACACAGGTCCCAATTTCTTGGCATAGCAAAGACTGCATAAAGAGTTAAATTTGTCATTTTTCCAGTCACCTGAATAATTCATTTAAACTGTATACATAGTTGCCCTCAAAGAGAACTATTTACAGTCATAACGAGCATTCAACCCAAGTTTAAAATTGCCCCATCATCTGGAAAGTTCCAAAGTCAGCCCAGTGTTCAATGAGCAAATGTTTACATTACAAAAGAGAGCCCTTGTAAGTTCTGTTAATGCATGCGTGTACATACGTATGTATGTACACACACACTGTTAGCACTGCTAGCAGCCTCTGTGAAAAACACAACTACTTACTGACCCCAGAAACAGACTGATCTATCCTTTTACCCTTGGCACAGCCAATTCAAAGCAGGAAGTTTAGGAGGAAATTCACATGATTAACATTTTCTTCACAAGAAAAAAAAAGCCAACTGCAAACCAATAAGCTTTCAAGATGAAACTGCACTTTGCAATTACCGCTAGAGAGGTAACTTGGGAAAGAGTGGCCCAAACTGAAGAGTTTCAGCTTTCTATCATTCAGATTATTCTGTAAGCACTTTTACATAAGAAAAATCTTAATAGATCTAATTGTTCAAATAAGAAATAGTAGTAAACATAACTGGCTACCCCTATTTTAAACACAGGAATTGTGGTCTTTTACTGTATATATCAGAAATAAAACATTTCTAAGACATTTCTCATATACACCCCTGCTTTTTCATTATTTTAAACTTAGATTGTTGCAAGTCACCCTTCAGCATTTACCACACGGACAATATAAATACTGTTTTATTCATCTCCCCTGTCCCGCAAGTCACCCACTCTTCTCTTTGAGGGGGCACACTCATTCCATTTGCTTAATTTCTATTAAAAGCATGACTGCAAATATTGCATCGCAAACATTAAGGTATTTTAAATACCTCAAGTTTTTTTTTCATCATTCCTGTTAGACAATGTTTCAAAGGAACCAGAACCAGGGACTGTTACTTTTAAGAAGGCATTACAGCAAGTTTTAAAATGCAAAGGATACATAGCTTTTCATCATCCTGAAAGGTGAAGTAGAGTTTCACAAAAAAAGGGTGATCCAGGCGGGACATTACATCTCTCTCTCGTGTCACATATGGCACCTTGTTTTCTTTTATGATATGACGTTTTTCTAGAATTTTAACTTAATGAAAAAGAGACAGAGTGAAAATGCAGGAGGTACAACCAAATGAAGTCCATCTAAGTAATTTGTTTGGGGTTTTTTTTTGTTAGATAAAATTATCATAAAACCACTAATTCTGTCTTTTGAACAGGTGTTTTGTAACACGATTACATTGATATTGTATTTTTAAAAAGTTAATGTTCAAGGAGTCAATACTTACTGGCATATTCTCTAGAACTTGCCAATTCTCGAGCCAAGACAACCTGTTGCCAGAGGAGAGAAAATATATTGTAACCATTCATTATAGACATACACTTAACATTGATTTTGATCTTCCAGTAGGTATTTAGAACACTGATTGACCAAAATAAGCTATCACAACTACAATCAGCAAAATATTTAAGCATGTGTCCATATTATGCTGGCTTCAGCAAGACCTCTGCAGAAATTCAGCTCAGCGTAACACCACTTGTTTTTTCTAAAAGACTTATACACCTGACTGGGTAATCACCGATTTACTTTTTTTTTTTCCAGAAGAATTCTGAAGATTGTAACATAAGTCACAGTAAGTTGCCAAATAGTCTTAAACGGAGGGAAAAAAGGCAACAAGTGCACTAAGGAATATTTATAAAAAAATCTAACTGTCACAGTACTTTTTCTTAACATAAATGGCAAAGATCGAAAGATAAATTTTATCTGAAAGATCAGAAGTATGAAGTGAGACAGAGCTTTCAACTATTTACGGTTTGTAAGGAAAAAGATTTAAAAAAAGGAATGAGAGATTTCCAGTTAGTAGAAGCAAGGAATAAAGTTTCAGGCAAGCAATTCTACGTTTTTAAAGAGAAAAGCTTTTTGAGGAACACAAATTAAAGCTCGTCTTCAAGAAAGAACTTGTCTAAAAGGCAACTTTTAAGACAACCTGAAGAGTCCTCTTGCATGAATCCGAGCAATAACCTTGTAACAATAGATGAATACAGTTTGGGTTTTTCTCATTTTAAGTTTATATCAATTCCAATACCTTGCTAGAATCTCAGCATTCTACTTTTTTTTTTTTAATCACTGCACCAAGCTTGCTTCTAATCCACTTCTCATTATATCCTAGCACCTTGCAAAATCAGTTGTAACAGTACTCCAAAATATTACTACATAACAGATACTAAATGTCAGGCATTTAGAAAAAAAGCTTCTAAATAAGGCACTTTTTCAGGTGAAAGTAGTGCATGCAGTTGCACTCTTTCAGTATTAGAAAATTAAAATCTCAGTTCAGTAGTAAAAGGCACCTTTAATTTTCTAAAAAACTTCATCTTCTACAAACACTCTGAAGTTCACAGTATTTGATCAATGAAAATTTCCACTAGAAACAACAAGTTGCACCTCTGCATAAGGAATTTGAGACCCTTCTGTGTACACAGATAACATTTTTTAAAGCTGTGCAATCAAATGAAAATGTTCTTAACTTTTCTAATCTTTGTTTCATCAGGTTTCATCAATCAAGTCTACCATTAAAGCTACCGAAAGCAGGTCACTTTAATAGTCAGTTGTTAAATAAATACCCAGATATATAGTGCTAACTTTCTGCATTTTGGAAATTGATACTTTTATGTTTTCATAAAACAATTCAGTGCCATCAGTAAAACAAAAATCCAATAGGCAATCTTGCCTACATATACACACACAAAGTCCACAGTCAGATGGCAGAAGTGACCAACTGACACAGGTGAAAATACATCTTGGCTAATAACTCTGAAAGTTGAATTAAGCTGTATAGCTCCAAAGACTGACTCTCCTCTAGTCCTGCAAGGTATCAATTTTTTTCCCCATTAGATTTCAGATGTACTACCCACATACTTACATTGATATTGAGCAGCTGTGTTCTAAGTACACAGGATTGAGTATTTACCTCCTATCATGAGTACTTGGGTACCCTCAAGTCCCTTCCTCACTGAACAAATCTGAGTATACCATATATCCTAATTTCCTCCTAACTAATAATCCACAAAAAACAGTAAATTCACAAAAAAAAAGAAAAAACCCACAGAGGTACATGTTAATAACGATGTCTCTATCAGGGGCCTGAATCTTATCCACCCTATGGGAAGAAGTAATATCAGTAAGGAACGTAAATTCCATAGAAAGGAATTAGACCTTAGATAGCTTAAAAAAACCCACAAAACCAAAAGCATTCACAGAACATGTAAATGGGGGGGGAGGATATGTACCAGCCATATAGAAAGAGGTGAGTAGGACAACATGCCTACCCAAACATGAGAATTATAATTCTGCCACCACATAACAGATATTATTCTGAAAGGAGCTTGAAGCTGTCTACAAAGCAAGTAGATTTTCATTACTTTGAAAGAGCAGAGCAACAACTAGAAGGCCCTGCATTTGTGTATCTGTTAATATCAAGCATGGGTCCAAGAACAGTTACAGCTGCAGAATAAGGTCCCACAAAATTGCAGAATGCTCTGAAGAAAAATCCCCTGAGGCCAGACCACATGCATCTCTGCTAAATTTGAAATACAGCACTGGTACCAGGTAGAGTTTGTGGTAGCTTAACAAAGTCCAAGAAAACGGAATATATTCATTATGACCCTGAGTAAATTTTTTTTTTTTAAAATCTGAAACTGTCATTGGAGGCATGGTAATATGAAGGCCCCTGCTTTTTGAGATGAACACTTTTCAGTCAGAATATTGGTGAAGATCTTGGGGAGTACAGTCAGATCTGAATCTACAACCATGTTTAATAAGGAAGAGGGTAAATTTAGATTAGATATAAGGAAGAAATTCTTCGCTATGAGGGTGGTGAGGCACTGGGACAGGTTGCCCAGAGAAGTTGTGGATGCCCCATCCCTGGAAGTGTTCAAGGCCAGGCTGGATGGGGCTTTGAGCAACCTGGTCTAGTGGAAGGTGTCCCTGCCCATGGCAGGCAGGGTGGAACTAGATGATCTTTAAGGTCGCTTCCAACCCAAACCATTCTATGATTCTATGAAGAACAAAGCATATGCTTTTTAACAAGATGTTTTGATAACAATGTGAATATACATGCCCCACAGACCAAGAGCTCTGATGTTGAAACATCAGAGGGTTGTGCTGCCATCCAGAGGGACCTCAACAGACTGGAGAAATGGGCAGGAAGAAATCTCACGCAGTTCCCTTTTTTAAACAACGAACTCCTCCTCCTGGCAAAAAATAATCCCATGAACCAGTATATGCTGGGGGCTGATGGGCTGGAAATCAGCTTTGCAGAAGAGGACCCAGGGGTCCTGGTAGACACCAATCTGAACATGAGACAGCAATGTGCCCTTGCCGCAAAGAAGGCAAACAGTATCCTGGGCTGCATTAGGAGGAATGTTGCCAGTATGTTGATGGAGGTGATCCTTCCCCCCTATTCAGCACTAGTAAGATCACATCTGGAGTACTGTGTCCAGTTCTGGGCTCCTCATTAACACAGAGACACGGAGCTACTGGAGAGAGCCCAGAGAAGGACCACTAAGATTATTAATAGAGTGAAGAATCTCTCATTTGAGGAAAGGCTGAGAGAGATGGGATTGTTCAGCCTAGAGAAGAAAAGGCTCAGGGTAAATCTCACCAATGTATATAAAATATCTGAAGGGGAATTGTAAAGAAGATAGAGTCAGGCTCTTTTCAGCAGTGGGTCAAACTGAAACACAGGAGATTCCATTTGAACATCAGGAAACGCTTTTTTACTGTGAGGGTGACCAACCACCGGCACAGGTTGCCCAGAGAGGTTGTGGAATCTCCATCCTTGGAGATACTCGAAAGCTGTCCAGACACGGTCCTGGGCAACTGGCTCTAGGTGGTCCTGCTTGAGCAGGGGGGTTGGATGAGATCACCTCCAGAGGTCCCTTGCAACCTCAGTCCTTCTGTGATTCTGTAAGAGCAGCAACCAAGTTTCCTTCTTGAAGGATGCAGTCTATAGGTTGAAGGCTACAGTCATTATCCTGAGCTCAAAGTTTTTAAATTAAAAAAATCAATCAGTTGCTGAAGACAGAACTGGACTTTACTTTTTTTTAAAATAATAATAAGCAAGTACTGTTAAGTCCCCTCCAGCAACAGTTTGTAACCTGTTCAGTGGCCAGGGAAAGAGCATAAGCAAGCATCTCCTGTGGAGCCTGATCATTATGAAAGGCATCCTTAAAACTATTGATCAGTTTCTAAAGTCATAGCACTGCAATAACGGACCAGAACTGCTAAGGTTGACAGAGGAGGTGACAGGCAGTAAGAACTAACTCCCAAACATGCCTTCTCTAGCACTATCTGAGGCCCAGATGATTATGGTAACTGAAATTCTGCTTGTAAAACTCAAAAGACTAAGGCTACGTAGGGATTAACATTTTCATGGTATTCAGTCTTTCTTCTGCTGCCCACCTAAATGCATTTGAGCTACCTAGACTTGGGACCAAAAAAAACCATCTACCAGTGAACAGGTAGCAGAATGCTGGAACAGAAGTTTATTCAGAGTCTGGGCTAGGCCCTATGAATTTCTCTATTTACAAGGAACACGGTACTAACTTTCAGAGACCACAAGCAGAAATTAAAAGTGTCTCACTGAAGCAGAGTGTTGTGGTATACCCAAGAGGCAGCAACTCTTGGATTCTTTAGGGAAACCTGCAAGTCGCAAACTATGTATTTAAGTGCAAATTATTCTTGACGACTAGTAGAGGCCTGCTTCCTAAACACCACAGTAGATTGTATAGGAAGAACCAGAAAAACACAACATTTAGAGATCAACAACCAAAAGGTATATACAACAAATGACATGTGAAAAAGATGTGAAAAAGATACAGAAATATTACTTATTGTCTTACAATGGGGCAACTACAAAAACATCAGATGAAAGTATTAACTGCTTTATAGGTTCTTTAAGATAACACTTAAGTAATTAATTCTTGTGCGATGCCATGGAAGTTCTTACCATGACAAACTCCTAGCCCAGTTCCAATCCTTTATGTCATAAAGTTTAACATAACCCATTATGCTATCAAACTTACATTAGAAAGCAATGTCTCCTAAAAATCCAAGCATCAGGACATCAGGATACAATGGAACTTCTGATGAGTTTAAAAGGTACTTGAAAAAAAAAAATCAGCACCCATATTTATTGCAACACTTAATTTTAATAGTTAAGCTTAAAAGCACTATGTCCCACTCATTTACTCTTCAAGCTGTTCTCTCCAGATTTAAATCTCAGCAATATTACTTGCACAACAAATTTTGAAGTTTATCTAAGATATTTGGCACTTCTTACAAAAAGTAAAGTTACCGTTGAAAAAGATCCTTCACCCAGAATTTTCCCAAATTTGAAGTCATCAGGTCGTTTCTTTCGAGGCTGTGAAGGCTGCTGTCCTGTATGTTGCTGCAAGGAGTTTGAACTAGATCTTGATTCAGCTGCAGTGCCCTCCATGTTAGAACCCTGTCTGCTGCCACAGGTGGAAATGACAGATGGAGTGCTGGAATCTGCTTGGTTCCTCACCATTGATGGGGATGAACAGGAGCATAACACCACACTAGACTGGATTGGAACAGCATCATACTGAAAAGAGAAATGAAACTGTTACTCCCATACCTTCAAATAATTACCACACACATCTGCACTTTATTTCCATACGAGCATCATATAAAGTCTTATTTGAAAGGGTTATCATTAAAACGTCTTTAGGAGAGAATGTTAGTATTTATTTTAGAAATGGCAGCTCTTAATTTGTTAAACAACTCTGTTTAGGTCACGCTGCACACAAGTCATAAGTCTGAATGCTTTAATTCAAGAATGCTTTTTTCCAAACTCAGAAAAACACTCCCTAACACCAAGGTATCAAATTTCACGGTACATTCTGCTATGAATAACATGATCTTTAAACTTTATTCCATGCTTAGAGACAGAGCCATCCGTCCAATCTCAACAAGTAGTAGTTTTCCTGGAACTAAAAGAATTATCTAGTTATGCAATGAACACCTGTATTCACAAGTAACATTAGTTGAGAGATCCAAGTTACAATGAGCTGTAAATGAACAAGTAAAGCATGAAAACTTTAATGGAGACAAAGGATACATTCCTACATTTTCACTTGGAATCACACTTTCTCCAGTAGTATTTCTCTTTAATACACATTGGGGAAGGACAGGAAGAAAAGGGAGAACAACATATAGAAGGCAGATCAGCTGGAGGGTTTAATAATCAGCAGTATCTAACACTTTTTTTGAAGAATGCTCTGGTCCATGACCTTTTAAAACAAGGAAGATTACACTATTTAAATTGTACATATGGTCACATAAAGACATCCCAATTCCAAAACAAAGAACCAGATATAGCCCAGAAAATGGCAAGTACAAGAAGGTACGCTCCAAATACTGATTCTTGTAATATACAAAGCAAATCATCATTTGGTATCCTTTTATCAATTTTTCCCAATTAAGACCAAGGAAACTTGTCAAGCTGCTTTCCCTCCCTGTTGGTACTATATCTCCATTAGTCTGTCAGGTGTCTGCTTCAGATGATGTTTTACTTGAAACTGGCCAGAAAATGCAGACAATACGAGAACTCTGCTGAACTACTTCTGACAATAAAAACTGAAGTGGTATGCAAACAGTGGGATTATTTAATAAAGTTAACACCATGTCTGAACATTATTTTTATATCTCAGTATTCTAACATACATCCAGCAGAATGAAACCATGACTTAATGAAAGTCTCCTAACCTCAAAACAGATGTATTATACAACCCTGACCTAGTCTGTAACATACCTCATGCTGATATTAAAATAAACATTACTTCTAACAAAAAGAATTTTTTATTTCATGAATTTCAATTTGATTGAGAACAATTTTCTGCATTTCTATCAGAAACCACTTCAGAAGGGAATTGGACTTGCATTCAATCGTGCATATGGGCTTAAAGCACCTAGCTCCCAAATTAGCAATTACTCACTTGGCTGTGCTCTATGCAGTAAGGAAAAGCAGCCCTTATTTACTGCTAAACTTCTTTCAAAAATAAGATACAATTCAGAAATACACTTTACTTACACATTTAGTGGCATTACAGAACAATGAGCTAAGCATGCAAACATATACTTTCTAAATTGAGATGAAGGTAACAAGGTCAAAAAGACAGCTACAACTCTCCATTTTCCCCACTCTCCATTACTGATACATAAATATCAATTCCCGCAAGATTGAAAATTAATTATTATTATTATTAAGCAACTATTCTAAACAATATCTTCCAAGAAGCATAAGGGAAGATCCCCTTTCCAATCTGAGTGCAACCTACTTGCTCCAGGATCTCTATTGCTCCTTAGGACTTTTTCCAAGAAATATGACTACACCGATAGGGCAGCAGATCAAGAACACGTAACAGCTTCTTTTATTAGACCTTTGTCTGAGCTTTGTGATACAGCGGAGACTGATGAGGAATCTGCCTATAACGATAGCTATTTGCTATATTTTGCACAGCTTTTGTGAGGACAAAAGGGGGGTGAGGCTGTGGGAAGGCTTGGAGACAGATGGGAAAATTTTGCTTTTCGAAAAGTTCACTAACTCCCCCAGAGAGCAGCATATGCCCCTACCCAGAATCAGTTATGCAGCATTCTTCCCTTTGAAAAGAAAAAAGTATATTGATGCTATTATTATGAAAACAGCACATACACATTAAAGTCACAGTTCCTTGTATGCCTTCTACGCAGGTATTTTAGCTGACACCTTCCCCAGACTAGTTATTGCCCTTAACATTCTCATAGCCCAGCTCAATCACCTTTCCTTCAGACAGCTACTCAAATAGCAGCCTGTATAAAGATACACAGTAGCTAGAATTAAAAACAGATTGTACTCTTTCCTATCAAGAGTGCAGCAAGGCTGACCCAAGTATGACTGCTCAACAACTGAAGCGATGCTAATATAAGAAACATCCCATTAATTGAGATATAGTAAATAAAAAACATATGCACACAGACTAAATATGAGGATTTAAATGATGAACTGGCTCCAGCCAGGCTATTCTAGAGCAACTGAGGGTTTACAGGTAAATAAAGCAGCAGCACTGGGGGGGGATCTGATTAGATTCTGTAGCTAGCGAGATCACCTTGAAAAAACAAAGAAACAAGAAAAAACCCACCACAAAAGCACCAGAGAGCACTGAGAGAAAGGGGGGAAAAAAGGTGTTGGATGCAGTATATTTCCTTGCACAGTATCTGAAACTAAGTCATAATGAATATCAAGTATAGAAAAGTCCCAAGGGAAGAAGAGACAGGAGTAAAGGACTTGGTAGGAAGAGAAGGTTATTTCCAGCCAAGGCATAACGTCAATTAGTCCCTTGACTTTCTCAAAGGAAAGTCAAGACTAAGAACAAGGACAGACGAAGATGCAATAGATTTAAAGTATCAGTTACCTAAGAAATGACAGAACTATGCAACTAGGTATGTTGCACCTGAACACTTATAGAAAAGGTCAGTCCTGTACTTGTCTTTCCACGCTCCACATATTCTTGTTTAGTATTGTGTGTCCTGTATTATTTACCTTCTCAGTTTTATTTTGAAAGATTCCAAAAAACATGTCTGCAGAGACCACACATGTTTCTACATATGTCTTCACATATGCCAGAGACAGAATACAGGCTAGCTCATCTGGTCTAACCTCATACAGCCACTCTTTTGCAAAAATCAGATTTAAGATTCTGCTTCTGCTAGACACAATACTTTTTTAGTGAGATATGAAGTCAATCACTGAAGAATTTTAAAACCTCCTAAACTGTGTCTGCGGTTCTCAGAAGCTTGAGGATGCTCTCCTTCCCAGCACTTATCAACATTTCTCAGCTGGCAAGCCAGTGAAAGCACAGACCCTCGCACAGTGACAACAGACTTACCTATTGCGTGTCATAGATCACTGTGGGCCACACTGATAACCACTGATCTAATCATTCTATCTCTGCTTTTAAAAACTAGTCTCTAACACTACCTACTTTCCCAAGCTCTTAAGGGTGCTGTTCCTAATTTACTTTCATACACAAATTGTTTCCTTCTTAGTGCAACATACTGTGAGTTTGAAAATCTAATAAGGAAGACAGTAACAAATCTGCTGAAGGTAAGTGGAATTACAGATCAACAGACATATCAAAATCTTAATTAACTAATTTTCACTAAATCACTAGAAACAGGCTTCCTTTTATTTACATGCCATGTGAAGTAAGTCCTTATATTGTTCTTTTCCCCTCTTGCCTGCAAACAGTAGAAATAAACTTAAGAAAAGAAAACTTGAATCAATGCAAAAAGCCCACTAGATATCACCACATTTTTCCTTTTATATTTTCCTCACTCCCCTTTGTATGAAAAGCCAGTCACAGGCAAAGCTCCCAGCTATCTAAAAGGACCTATAACTTTTGGAATCCTTTTTGCAATTCAGCATTTTGACAACAGCACTGCCACTACAACTTTTAATATATCTAAGCACATGGTACGCATCAAACAAATACCACACTGCTCTAAAGCAAGTACAACCACAACAACTGCATCTCTACTAGCTTTTTCCCACCGCAAAATCTGCAACACTGCTTTGCTGATACAGTTCTATCAACACTAACAGCAGCAAAAAATACTTGTAGAGACTGGGCCTTCTGAAGCTTCCCGTATCTTTTACTTCTATCCTAACTGACATGACACTGAACCCTGAAGATGACTCAGAATATCTTTGCTACCACTGAAACTCTGCTAGCAAAATCTCATTTCTGTTACAAAGAAAGTCAGTGTGAATAGGGTCCTGACCTACCACCTGTCTGATAACACTGAGTCTAACTGCTGATTGTATTACTGAATCTCTAGCTGCCTTAAGACATAGGGCAGACTTGATCAGAAAAGCTCTTCCATCCACTTACCTATAAGGCCAATTTTTTTGGAAGCAGACCTTGCTAACAGAAAGTATTATTTACACAAAGCAACATGAGCTCTACTACACCTCAACTGGTACTTTTGTTTTAATTATAAACAATGCTGATGAGGCTGTATAAGTTACAACATTGGCACAACTCTTATGAATTTTTCTATGGTAAACAGTATTACAGGTCTACTAAATGAAATAATGCAGATAGACATCCATAAAACATTTGACTTGGTATTATATAATTTCTGTCTGAAATACATAATACTATTGAGGAAAATGAATATAGGACATATTCTAAGTAAAACTGGTTAAATTCTTAAACAACTTATAATTAATAGTCATCCCCAAACAAGGATCTCTTCCAGTCAACACCTGGATTGACTCTCAAACCAAAAAGGCTGAAAGAAAAAGAATGGCATAAATTTTAAGACTGAACCCCCCCCCCACACACACCATTTGGCAAAAAAGTGTATCTCTTAGTTAAAGCAATCTACAGCTTTTGGTAAATTAGACAAACAGTGAGACCTTACTTTTGTCTCTATCAAAACATTACTACAAATCAAAGTATGGTCCAAGAACTTAGGCATAATGGTGGGAAACAAGTGGACAAAGAACTTAAGCTAGTCCGTACCCGAATATACAGAACTAGAAAGCATCAACTAGAAGCA